TGTGCAGGGAACTCTGGATGCCCCTCTCCTCCTCCCTGCCTGAGAGTGAAGCATCCCCAAGGCAAAGTTGGGCTGGATTGTTGAAGGCTTTCACAGCCTGAATCACCAGGTTGCTGTGAGTTTTTTGGGCTGTCTGGTCAATGTGTTCCAGCAGCATTCTCTCCTGACATTTCACCTAAATCTATGGCTACTGGCATCTTATGATCCTCTGAAGATTTTATTTTATTGCTGTTTACAAATATTAACTGTTGGAATTTGAATGTTTTGATGTTGTAAGCCACCTTGAGTCTGCAATGTGGGGCAGACGTACTGTAACTCAGGCCTGGGCAAACTTTTTAACTTGGGGTTCGCATGCTAGAACTCCCTGCTAAGAGGACTGGCAGCCCAGTGATGGAAGGGAGAGAAGGAAAGAGAAAAGGAAGGAAGGATGAAAGGGAGGACAGGAAGGATAGAAGGAAGGGAGGAAGAGAAGGATGGAAGGGAAGAAGGGAAGAGAGAAGGAAGGAAGGATGAAAGGGAGGAAGGGAAGGATAGAAGGAAGGGAGGAAGAGAAGGATGGAAGGGAAGAAGGAAAGAGAGAAGGAAGGAAGGACGAAAGAGAGGAAGGGAAGGATAGAAGGAGAAAGAGGGAGACAGGGAAGGAGAGAGAGGAAAGAGGGAAAGAGGGACAAAAGGGAGGAAGGGAAGGATAGAAAGAAGGGAGGAAGAGAAGGATGGAAGAGAAGAAAGAAAGAGAGAAGGAAGGAAGGAAAGAAGGAAGGGATGAAAGGGTGGAAGGGAATAAGGGGAAGAAAGGGAGGGAAGGGGGGAGGGAAGAGAGAAGGAAGGGGGGAGGAAGGAAAAGAAGAGGAAGGGAGGAAGAGAGAGGAAGGAGAAAGGGGAAGGAAGGAAGGGGAGAAAGAAGGAGGGAGAAAGAAGGAAGAAGGAAGGGAGAGAGGGAAGGAAGGAGAAGGGGGAAGGAAGGGAAGGGAAGGAAGAAGGGAAGGGAAGAAGGAAGAGGAAGGAAGGAAGGAGGAAAGAAGGAAGGAAGGAAGGGGAAGGGAAGGAAGAAGGAAAAGGAGAAGAAAGGAAGAGAAGGAGGGAGGTAGGAAAGGGAGAAGAAATGGAAAGGGAATGGAGGAAAGAAGAAAGAGAGAGGGAGGAAAGAGAGAAGGAAGGAAAGACAAAAGGAAGGAAGGATGGAAGGAAGGAAGGAGAATGGGAGAGAGGGAAGGAGGGAGGGAAGAGGGAAGGAAGGAAGGAAGGACGAAAGAGCGGAAAGGAAGGAGGGAGGGAGAAAGAGGCAAGTAAGGAAGAGAGGGAAGGAGGAAGGAAATAGAGAAGGAAGGATGGTGAAAGAGAGGAAGATTGAGAAATGAGCCCAAGGGGCAGCATCCCACCCCCACCTCCCACCCCCGGGGGCCTGGGTTTGCCCATATCCGCCCTCTAAATAAATACATAAGTGAATAAGATGCCAGTCACAGATACAGGCAAAACGTCAGGAGAAAATGCTACGAGAACAGGTTGGCCATACAGCCTGGAAACAAACCACGCAACACTCCCTTTTTTTAATGTTTATAGATTTGAAATGGCACTGAAATGCTTTTAGTGTAAGAAGGAAGCTTCGCATCTCATTGCGGAGAGAAAAAGCAGGGTGTAAATAAACACCATCACTGTCATCGTAACAACAAGGAGCATCTCAGGAGCAGCCCCATAAGCAGGGCGCAATGCCAGCAAAAGGGGAGGGACGAATGGCAGGCCCAGGACCTGCCCAACTGGCACAACGGGCTTGGGGTGGTTATCTTATCTGTCCCACTTGTAGGGCCTGCAGGGAAGCATCTCCACTTGCTCCTGTTTGCTTGATTGCTTCCTTCTGGCTAGGACTCACCCATTGGAAAAGGAGCCCCGGGTGACAGGACTGAAGACCAACAGGTTGGAGGTTTGAATCTGGGGAGAGCATGGATGAGCTCCCTCTGTCAGCTCTAGCTTTCCATGTGGAGACATGAGAGAAGCCTCCCACAAGGATGATCAAACATCAAAAAATCCGGGCAACGTCCTTGCAGATGGCCAATTCTCTCACACCAGAAGCAACTTGCAGTTTCTCAAGTCGCTCCTGACACACACAAAAAACAAACCCACGGGCAAAATTTGGCCCTCCAGTGTTTTGGACTCCAACTCCCACCATTCCTAACAGTGTCAGGCCCTTTCCTTTCCCCCCTCAGTCTCTTAAGGGGTCCAAGGGTGTTAGGAACTGCAAGTCACTTCTGGTGTGAGAGAATTGGCCACCTGCAAGGACGTTGCCCAGGGGACATTGCCCGGATGTTTTGATGTTTGACCATCCTTGTGGGAGGCTTCTCCCCTGTCTTTGCATGAGGAGCTAGAGCTGACAGAGGGAGGTCATCCGTGCTCTCCCCAGATTCGAACCTTTGAACTTTGCGTTGCCAAACGCCACTCAATGGAAGGAAGGGGTTGGGTTGCTGTGAGTTTTCTGGACTGTGTGGTCATGTTCCAGAAGCGTGCACTCTGCACGCTCTGTATGGCCAGACAGCCTGGAAAACTCACCACAACCTGGCCATGAAAGCCTTCGACAACACAAGGAAGGGGTTGTTCCAAACCCAGATCTTCCTTTGGCTGGGAGGAAGGAGGACCCACCATTTGCCCCAGTCTCATGGGGGCCCCACCCTTGCTTTCCTAGTGATGTTAGTGTATTGGGGTGGGGAGGGTGTTCCTTGGGCATCTAAATAAAGATTGGAAAGGGGAAAAGCCAGATCATGGAATCCTAGAATCCTAGAGTTGGAGAAGACTTGGTGGGCCCTCCAGCCCAACCCTATTCTGCCAAGAAGCAGGAAAATCACATTCAAAGCACCCCCGACAGATGGCCATCCAGCCTGCAAAGAAAGAGCCTCCACCACACTCCGGGGCAGAGAGTTCCACTGCTGAACAGCTCTCACGGTCAGGAAGTTCTTCCTCATATTCAGGTGGAATCTCCTTTCTTGTAGTTTGAAGCCATGGCTCCATTGTGCCCTAGTTTCCAGGGCAGCAGAACACAAGCTTGCTCTCTCCTCCCTAAGACAGCCACCCAACCTTGCTAGGATTCCATGATCTGGCCTTCTCCCTTTCCAATCCTTATTCAGATGTCCAAGGAACATCCTCTGCCATGCAGACAGGGAAGCCTCCAAAGAAGGAGCCTCCACCACACTCCACGGCAGATAATTCCACTGGTGGACAGCTCTTCCTCATGTTCAGGTGGAATCTCCTTTCTTTCTGGTTGTGTGAAGCCATGGCTCCATTGCGTGCTAGCCTCCTGGGCAGAAGTTTCCTTAACAGGTCCTATAGTCGATATTTAAGTAGGATCCCTTTTTATGTAATTTGGATCTAGGGAATCGGGTTATGATCTCTGGAGCAGCAGAAAACAAGGGCATGTTCCATGCCTTTCAGGTTTGTTTGTTTGTTGTTGTTTGTCGCATCAGGAGCGACTTGAGAAACTGCAAGTCGCTTCTGGTGTGAGAGAATTGGCCGTCTGCAAGGACGTTGCCCAGGGGATGCCCGGATGTTTTGATGTTTTTATCATCCTTGTGGGAGGCTTCTTTCATGTCCCCGCATGAGGAGCTGGAGCTGATAGAGGGAGCTCATCCGCGCTCTCCCCAGATTCGAACCTGCGACCTGTCAGTCTTCAGTCCTGCCAGCATAGGGGTTTAACCCACTGCGCCACCAGGGGCTCCTCACCTTTCAGGTGTCTCTAGTGTTGCCTCTCCACCTTCTCATACAATTGAAAAGAGACCCCCCCCCCCCAAAGCCCATCCAATCCAACCCCATTTTTACCAGGTGGGAAAGCAGCCAGATGGGCCAGGCTTTAGCACAGCAGGTAAATCACCAGCAATGAGTAAAGGTTGAGAGTTAGACGTGCGGGTCAGGGTGAGCTCCTGAGCTTCAGCCCAGCTTCCTCCCCATCGAGCAGATTGGAAACAGAAATGTGGTGTGAGCAAGGCAGAAGCGAGGGGCGGCATGGCTTCCCTGGCAATGCCCAATGGGCTTTCCAAAGGAAAGTAGGTCACGGGGAGGGGGGAGAGGGAGGGGGCGGGTTCCTCGAGCACCCCCCCCCTTTCCCCCCTCCCTCCCTCCCTCCGTTGGGCCAATATTGACGCTCCTTCCGGGGTTTGTTGTGCTTTCAGGGCTGCAAACACGTCTCCTTTCGACGACAGCGACACACCTGGGTTGGGTGGCTTCCCCTCTCTCAAAGAACACACTTTGGGGAGGGGGCGAGGCTTAGCATCCCCCTCCTCCACTTTCCCCTCCTCCTCTTTGGGTCGGACATCAACAACAACCCCCCCCCCCCTCCAAAAGAGAGAGCAGACATGGCGCTCTTCCTCCGCGCCCCCTCCCAGAGGCAGAGGTAAGCATCATATATGTAGTGCCAAGCGCGGAGGGAGGGAGGGAAGGAGGCACAGGTTAGAGAGAGGCAGATAGAGAGAGAGAGAGAGGGAGGGGCCCCTCCACAAGTGGAAAGGGGCGGGGGAGGGAGAGGGAGAGAGAGAGGAAGCAAAACATCTCCTTCCCAGAGGGAGGAGGGAAAGAGGGAGGGGTGGAGGGAGGGGGAGGCGGTCGCTAGGCAACGGGAGCCCCCTCCCCTCGCAGGGCGAGCCCCCTCCCCACCCGGGAGCAGGTGGTTGGCCCAGCAACAGCCGCCGCCGAGGCAAGGAGCCAATCCCGAGCCACGACGGGCAAGACAAGTCCAGACAGAAGGGGAAGGAGGGGGGGGGGGGAGGGGGGGGCGGGCGCCCAGATGTGTGTGTGTGTGGATGTTTTTTTGGGGAGGGTGTTGGGAAGGGTCCACACACACACACACACGCACACGCACACACGCCCCAAGGCGAGAGGGAGGCGCTCTGCACACGCCCAGAGGCAACCCCGATGGCGAGGGTCCAGCCAAAGCCCCCGACCCCGGATGAGCCCCCAGAGAAACCCCCTCCTCCCCTTCCTTCCTTCCTTCCCTTTCCCCTTCCCTTTCCCCTTCCCTACCTGGGGTGCTGTCCTGCTTCCTTCCTCCTTTCCTTCCTTCCTTCTTTCCTTCCTGCTTTCCTTCCACGCGAGGCGTCGAGGCGCGAAGGAGGCGGAAAGCCACGTATGGAGCAAGTACATGTGTTGTTGCTGCTTCTGCTGCTCCCTCGCCTCCTCTTCTTCCTCCTCCTCCTCCTCTTCCTCCTCTCCTGCCTTCGCGACGGCTGAGTGGGGCGTCCCCTCGTGCCTGGCTCGCCCTCGGGCTCCAAAAGAGAGAGGGAGGGGCGGCAGGGAGGGGAGGGGGAGGGGGTAGGGCGGAGCCTATCCAGAGGAAGGGGAAATGACCTCCTTCTCCCCTCCAGCCCCCCTCTCCTCTTCCCAAGCCCCTCCTCTGGTCAGCCGGACCCTTCCGAGAGAGAGAGACAGACAGACAGACAGACAGAGAGAGATCCAGGACCCTGGACAGCTCCCTCCTCCTCCCCTTCCACACAGCTGCATATACACTCCCACACGATCTGCTTTGAACCGGGTTACGTGGCAGTGTGGACGCAGATAACTCAGTTCAGACATTGTGGATGATCTGCCTGCATGGAAGGGGGCTCAGGCTCCCCTCGGAAGAGACTGGCCCTCTTCTTCACTTGCTCTCCCTTCCTCTCTTTCTCCCAAAAACAGAGGGACCCCCTCCAGCCCCCTCTTCCTCCTCCTTCCATTCTTTCTCCAACATGTTGTTGTTGTTCATTGGTTCAGTCGTCTCCGACTCTTCGTGACCTCATGGACCATCCCACGCCAGAGCTCCCTGTCAGCCGTCACCACCCCCAGCTCCTTCAAGGTCAGTCCAGTCACTTCAAGGATGCCATCCATCCATCTTGCCCTTGGTCGGCCCCTCTTCCTTTTGCCTTCCACTTTCCCCAGTAATTGTCTTCTCTAGGCTTTCCTGTCTCCTCATGATGTGGCCAAAGTACTTCATCTTTGCCTCTAGTCTCCTTCCCTCCAGTGAGCAGTCGGGCTTTATTTCCTGGAGGATGGACTGGTTGGATCTTCTCGCAGTCCAAGGCACTCTCAGAACTTTCCTCCAACACCACAGCTCAAAAGCATCGATCTTCCTTGGCTCAGCCTTCCCTAAGGTCCCGCTCTCACATCCGTAGGTGACTACAGGGAAGACCATGGCTTTGACTAGGCAATGGATCTTTGTTGCCAGTGTGATGTCTCTGCTCTTTACTATTTTATCGAGATTGGACATTGCTCTCCTCCCAAGAAGTAAGCGTCTTCTGATTTCCTGGCCACAGTCTGCATCTGCAGTCATCTTTGCACCTAGAAATACAAAGTCTGTCACGGCCTCCACATTTTCTCCCTCTATTTCCAGTTGTCAATCATTCTTGTTGCCATAATCTTGGTTTTTTTGATGTTTAGCTGCAACCCGGCTTTTGCGCTTTCTTCTTTCACCTTGATTAGAAGGCTCCTCAACTCCTCCTCGCTTTCGGCCATCAGAGTGGTGTCATCTGCATATCTGAGGTTGTTAATGTTTCTTCCAGCAATTTTCACCCCAGCTTTGCATTCATCCAGCCCCGCACATCGCATGATGTGTTCTGCATACAAGTTAAAAAGGTTGGGTGAGAGGATGCAGCCTTGCCGGACGCCTTTCCCAATCTTGAACCACTCTGTTGTTCCGTGGTCAGTTCTGACTGTTGCTACTTGGTCCTTGTACAGATTCCTCAGGAGAGAGGGAAGGGGGCTTGGGATGCCCATCCCACTAAGAACTTGCCACAATTTATTATGATCCACACAGTCAAAGGCTTTAGAGTAGTCAATGAAGCAGAAGTAGATGTTTTTCTGAAACTCCCTGCCTTTCTCCATTATCCAGCGGATATTGGCAATCTGGTCTCTCGTTCCTCTACCTTTTCTAAACCCAGCTTGAACATCTGGCAACTCTCGCTCCATGTATTGCTGGAGTCTTCCTTGCAGGATCTTGAGCATTACCTTACTGGCATGAGAAATAAGGGCCACTGTATGGAAGTTTGAGCAGTCTTTCGCATTTCCCTTTTTTGGTATGGGGATATAAGTTGATTTTTTCCAGTCTGATGGCCATTCTTGTGTTTTCCATATTTGCTGGCAAATGGCATGCATCACCTTGACAGCATCATCTTTTAATATTTTAAACAGTTCAGCTGGGATCCCGTCGTCTCCTGCTGCCTTGTTGTTAGCAATGCTTCTTAAGGCCCATTCAACCTCACTCCTCAGGATGTCTGGTTCTAATTCATTCACCACACCGTCAAAACTATCCTCAATATTATTATCCTTCCTATACAGATCTTCTGTATAGTCTCGCCACCTTCTCTTGATCTCTTCAGCTTCTGTTAGGTTCCTGCCATCTTTGTTTTTATCATACCAATTTTTGCCTGAAATTTACCTCCAATGTTTCTAATTTTCTGGAAGAGGTCTCTTGTCCTTCCTATTCTGTTGTCTTCTTCCACTTCCATGCATTGCTTATTTAAAAATAGTTCCTTATCTCTTCTGACTAACCTCTGGAATTGCGCATTTAACTGGGCATATCTCCCCTTATCCCTGTTTCCTTTTGCTTTCCTCCTTTCTTGGGCTACTTCCAGTGTCTCAGCAGACAACCATTTTGCCTTCTTGGTTTTCTTTTTCTTTGGGACGTACTTTGTTGCCGACTCCTGAACAATGTCTCGGACTTCTGTCCATAGTTCTTCTGGGACTCTGTTTACTAAATCTAGTCCTTCAAATCTGTTCTTCACTTCCACTGTATATTCGCTAGGAATGTTAGTGAGATCATATCTATCTGGTCTGTGTATTTATTTATTATTTGCATTTGTTAACCGCCACTCTCAGCCCGAAGGCGACTCGTGGCGGTGTACAGAACATAGAACATAAAGACAACAGTTACAGTGAATCAGGATCATAACACACATCTTACTAACACACAACTAATTAAACTAAAAATCCGCTTCGTCTTGTTTGGGTCATAATCAATCACGTCGTCATAATCCATTCCGGTGGTCGTTCCAAAACCTAGCACTTAACTGAAGGCCTTTTCGAAGAGCCAGGTTTTCAGGCCCTTACGGAAGGCCATGAGGGAGGGCGCCTGTCTGATTTCAGCAGGGAGGGAGTTCCACAGCCGGGGGGCCACCACCGAGAAGGCCCGCTCTCTAGTCCCCGCCAGCGTGCCTGTGAGGCAGGCGGGACCGAGAGAAGGGCCTCCCCGGATGATCTCAAGGTCCTCGTGGGCTCGTAGGCCGAGATGCGGTACTCAAGGTATTTTGGGCCGGAACCGTTTAGGGCTTTGTAGGTTAGCACCAGCACCTTGAATTGGGCTCGGTAGCTGATCGGCAGCCAGTGGAGCTGGGACAGCAAGGGCGTAGTGCGCTCCCTGCGTCCCGCTCCGGTTAACAACATGGCTGCCGCGCGCTGGACTAGCTGGAGCTTCCGGGCCGTCTTCAAGGGCAGCCCCACGTAGAGAGCGTTGCAGTAGTCGAGGCGGGATGTGACCAAAGCGTGTACCACCGTGGCCAAGTCAGACTTCCCAAGATACGGGCGCAGCTGGCGCACAAGCCGAAGCTGTGCAAAAGCTCCCCTGGTCACTGCTGAAACCTGGGGATCCAGGCTCAGCGATGTGTCCAGGGTCACACCCAGGCTGCGAACCTGCGCCTTCAAGGGGAGTGCGACCCCATCCAGCACAGGCTGTAACCCTATACCCTATATCTAACTGGTCTGTGTATTTTCCCTGATCTCTTTAGTTTTATTCTAAATTGGGCAATAAGAAGTTCGTGATCTGAGCTACAGTCAGCCCCAGGTCTTGTTTTCACCGACTGGATGGATGTCCGCCACCTTTGGCTGCAAAGGATGTAGTCAATCTGATTTCGGTGCTGACCATCTGGTGAGGTCCATGTGTAAAGCCGTCTTTTAGGTTGTTGGAAGAGAGTATTCGTTATACACAGCGAGTTTTCCTGGCAAAATTCTATCAGCCTGCGTCCCGCTTCATTTTGTTCTCCCAGACCATGCTTGCCTGTGATCCCAGTTGTCATTTGACTTCCCACCTTGGCATTCCAGTCTCCTGTAATGAAAATAATGTCTCTTTTTGGTGTATTATCCAGTAGGTCCTGCAGATCCTCATAGAACTGATCTACTTCTGCTTCTTCAGCAGCTGTGGTTGGGGCGTATATTTGGATCACTGTAATGTTGAAAGGCTTTCCTTGCACTCGAATTGAGATCATTCTGTCATTTTTTGGGTTGTATCCAAGCACCGCTTTAGCGAATTTCTTATTAATTATGAAGGCTACTCCATTTCTTCGATGTTCCTCTTGTCCGCAGTAGTAGATCTGGTGGTCATCTGATGTGAAGTGGCCCATTCCAGTCCATTTCAGTTCGCTGACCCCCAGAATGTCTATCTTTAGTCTTGACGATCTCACCAATAACAACATCCAATTTGCCCTGGCTCATAGATCTTACATTCCAGGTTCCTATGGTGTGTTGATCTTTAGAGCATCGGATTCGTCGTTCACCTCCAGTACCATCGGCCGCTAGCCTTCCTTTCGGCTTTGAGCTAGCTGCGTCATCACATCTGGGGCTAGTTGAACTTATCCTCTGCTCCTCCCCAGTAGCATTTTGGCCATCTTCCGACCTGGGAGTCCCATCTTCCAATGGCATACCGACATATCTCTGGTTGTACTGGTCCATTTAGTTTTCTTGGCAAGGATACTGGAGTGGTTTGCCATTGCCTTCCCCAGGGATCACGCTTGGTCTGACCTCTCTGCCACAACCGTCCCGTCTTGGGTGGCCCTCCACGGTTTCGCTCATGACATCATTGAGGTGCTCAAGCTCCAGCGCCCCGACAAGGCGGTGATCCTTTGCTGGAGCATGGAGCTCCAGCAAAGGATCTCCAACATGGAGGGGGTCTTTCCCACTCCCTTCCTACTCCCTCCAAAACGGGAAGAGGGAAGGTGGGAGAAAGAAAAGGAGGTCGGAAAAAAGAGGAGGAAAGAGAAAAGAAAGGAAGGAAGGTCAGTAGGAAACAGAGAGGGAAGGAAGGGAGGGAGGGAGGAAAAGAAGGGAAAAGGGGAGGAAGAGAAAAGGAAGGGAAGGGAAGGAAGGAAAAAGAGGGAAGGAAGAGAAAAAGGAAAGGGAGGAAGGAACAGAGGGAAGAGAAACAGGAAGGAAAGGAGGAAGAAAGAAAAAGAGAGGAAGGAAGAGAGAAAGGAGGGAGGGAAGGGAGGGAGAGAGGAAAGAAGGAAACAGAGAGGGAAGGAAGAGAAAAGGGGGGAGAAGGAAATAGCGAGGGAAGGAAGAGAGAAAGGGAGGGAGGAAAGAAACAGGGAGGGAAGGAAGAGAAAAAGGAAGGGGGGAAGGAAAAAGAGGGAAGAGAAACAGGAAGGAAAGTAGGAAGAAAGGAAACAGAGGGGGAAGGAAGGAAAGAAGAGAAGAAACAGAGAGGGACGGAAAAAACAAGAGAGGGAAGGAAAGCAGAGAGAGAAGGAAAACAGGGAGGAAGGAAACAGAGGGAAGGAAAAGAAAAAGGAAGGAAACAAATGGAAGGAAGAGGAAACAGGAAGGGAAGGAGGAAGAAAGGAAAAAGAGAGGGAAGGAAGAGAAAAAGGGAGGAAAGAAGGAAACAGGAGAAAGGAAGGGAGGGAGGGAGGGAGGAAGGAAACAGGGAGGGAAGGAAGAGAAAAAGGAAGGGAGGAAGGAAACAGAGGGAAGAGAAACAGGAAGGAAAGGAGGAAGAAAGGAAACAGAGGGGGAAGGAATTCAGAAAGCGTAGTACTTGATTCACAATAAAACCCTTTCTTTCATAGCACTATCCTGATATAAATTGTAATTAAATTAAATAACAGGCTGTACATTTTGGAAAATTATTAAACTCCATTTTCGATTCTTATTGGTTAAAATAAATTAGTAAAAATTTAAAAGGTAATGTGACTAAAAAAATGGATGACATCTCGCTCTGAAATAATAAAACGAACCGGCTTCTTAATTAATAGAAACATTATTTAATGATTAATAAAATAACCATCATATTTATTATATAAAAATTAATTCCACTAATATAAACATATTTAATAAGATAAACAGTAATTTATCATATTAATAAATTGAACATATATTTATTAATATAATATAAATTAGTTATTAAAACAGAGAAGGAAGGAAAAGAAGAGAGAAAAGAAGGGAGGGAGGAAAGGAGGAACGACACAGGAAGAGTTTATAAAGCACAACGTAATGTTTTGACTCTCAGGTGGCTCTAAATCAAGCATGGACCAACTTGGGCCCTCCAGGTGTTTTGGACTCCAACTCCCACCATTCCTAACAGCCTCAGGCCCTTTCCTTTTCCCCCTCAGCCGCTTAAGCGGCTGAGGGGGGAAAGGAAGGGGCCTGAGGCTGTTAGGAATGGTGGGAGTTGGAGTCCAAAACACTTGGAGGGAGGGCTCAAGTGGGCCCAAGCCTGGCCTAAATCCACTGGGTGGCTTTAGCCAAGTCCCACTCTCTCAGCCTCAGAGGAAAACAGGCCAATCGGAATCAATCTTGACCAGAAAACTCCGTGAGAGCGTTGCCTTAGTCTCACCCTGAGTCTGAAATAGTAATAAACTTTATTTATACTCCACCTTCTCTCCCTAAGAGGATTCAGAACAGATTACAAACATTCAGTGTCTTAATACAATGGAATCACAATGACACACAAATACACAGAACTAGGGTAAAGGCTTTCTGGAGACAGCGCTCAACTCTGGTCATGGGGAGGTGCTCGTGTTCCATTTCCAAGCCTAGGAGCCCATTGTCCGTAGATACGTCCAGGTTGTATTACTGGCATGGCTGCATGGGCACCTTTATGACCTTCCCGCTGAAGCGGTACCTATTGATCTACTCATATTTGCATCTTTTCGAACTGCTAGGTTGGCAGGAGCTAGGTCTAACAGCAGGAGCTCGCCCTGACACACTGCTTCGAACTGGTAACCTTTAAGTCAGCAGATTCAACAGTTCAACGGTTTAACCCATTGCGCCACCATGCTCTCTTGACTTGAAGATCAACAACAACAATATATAGTCCAGCCTGTCCTGTCCGAACAGCCCAAGGGACCATGAACTGGCCCTCTGCAAAGTGTGAGGAACCCTGGGTTATCCCTTTGCTGCCTATGACCAACTGGACTCCTTCATCCCCAAATGGAGATTTGGAGACTGATCGTCTTGGAATTCGGAACATCGAAAGTCTGAGTGTGTAGACTGTGGAGAGTCTGTATGGCAACGTTCCAGTAGCATTCTCTCCTGACGTTTCACCTGCATCTGTGACTGGCATCCTCAGAGGTTTGTTTAGAGGAAGTCAGGAGAGAATGCTACTGCAACATGGCCATACAGCCAGAAAAAAAAATCACAGCAACCCAGTGATTCCAGCCATGAAACAAATCAAAACAAATCAAAAATCGTATTTTCTTCCAGTGCCCTTGGAGAACTGTAAATCATAGGGGGTGGGAGTGTTGTGATAGTGATAGTGTGTGCATATTCTTGGCGAACGGCTGTTATGTAATTGACCCTATATGTATTGGTTAATTTTAATGTTGATGTATGATATTTTAGATTTTAGTGTTAGCATTGAATTTTTGCTCAAAAGGCCATCTAATTCAAACCTGTTCCTTTTGCCAGGCAAAGCACCATCAAAGCCCTCCTGACAGATGCCCATCCAGTCTCTATTTAAAAGCTTCCAAAGAACGAGGCTCCACTACACTCCGAGGGAGTGAGTTCCACTGTTGAACAGCTCTTCTTACAGTCAAGAAGTGCTCAATAATAATAATAATAATAATAATAATAATAATAATAATACAGATGCCCACCCAGTCTCTATTTAAAAGCCTCCAAAGAGGGAGGCTGCACTACACTCCGAGGCAGTGAGTTCCACCGCTGAACAGCTCTTTTTATAGTCAAGAAGTGCTTAATAATAATAGTAATAATAATAATTATATACTTTATTTATTTTCTGCTCTATCTCCCCGAGGGACTCAGAGCAGATTACAGAATACATATATGACAAACATTCAATGCCATTGTACAATTAACATCAAAAACATACAGTACATAGACAAAGATAAAGGCCTTCCCCCTTTTCATCTCCAGAATTTTTGGAAGTTGTGCTCAACTCCGGCCATGGGGAGGTGCTCTTGTTCCATTTTCCATGCCGAGGAGCTTGTTGTCCATGGACACCTTCCTGATCGTATTGCTGGCATGTCTGCACAGGTGTCTTTTATCTCCCTGCTAAAGCAGTACCTATTGATCTACTCACATTTGTATTTGAACTGCTAGGTAGGCAGAAGCTAGGACTAACAGCAGGGGCTCAGTCCAACCCTCAGCTTTGAACTGCCTACCTTCTGGTCGACAAGTTTTTCTGCAGCTGGTGATTTAACCCACTCTGCAAACATGCCCCTTCCTAAGGTTCAGTGGAATCTCCTTTTCTGCAACAGGTAGAACAGGTAGAAGGAGGCTGCCCGGACACAAAGCATCCTTAAATAACAAATTAATTTTTAATAGACTTCATTGTGTTGGCAAGATGTGCCATGTGCCATGCCAGCTGAAAGAGGAGGTCTGGAAGCTACATGGCAGAAGAGAGAAAGAGAGACAATCCCCGCAAGTGATATTCCAGGACAGGCCTGCAGAACCTCCAAGTCCAAGGGAAGTCTACCTGAGTTGGAGCAGGAAGGACTGGCATTGCTTCCCTTCAAGTGCATTGAGGGTGGCGCCCCGAATGCCCAGGAAGGGGAGGAGAAAAGAAGGCCCACCTCAGTCATTAGCGAAATGTGTCTGAACAGCTGGGCAGAGCAGAGAGGCCCTCTGTGTGTGTTGGGCTCTTGAACATCTGGATCTGTGGGTCTTCTAGAGTAAACAAACAGGACGTGAAGAGAGGAAGGGGACCCCAATGCGCCCCTAACAAGGCTGCATCCTCCTCTTCTTCTGGGGTACTCGCAGCCACTGCAATGGGTTCCTGAGCTCTTGCAGCTCCGCATCACAGCCAAGCCTCCACTGCAGCTCCCTTTGACCACACAGGAATGTCGCTTTGCCCATGTGCCTCCCTCCCATGTATGTGTGCGCACGTGTGTATGAGGCCCTTCCTTCACTCGCTCGTCAATGGCTTTGGCTCTGGAGATGGAGAGAAGGAGACAGAGAGATTGATTTAGCTTGTGGGAGGAACTCACAAGGAAGCAACACTGGACCATAATCACAGTCTCTTTCGCATTCGGAGGCATGGAGGAGCGAGCGGGGCTGTTACGTATGCGCAAGAGGGTGCGTGTCGGGTGCCTGTAAAGGCCAATCACGTATTTAAATAGATTAAGCCTATTTTTAAAGTAGCCCTGTGGCAAGTCTGAAAAATTAATGTTTTCTTGCTTACGGCCTGCCCACTTTATTATTATTATTATTATTATTATTATTAAACTTTATTTGTACCCCGCTAGCATCTCCCGAAGGACTCCATGCGGCTTACAAAGGCCAAGGCCTCAACACAACAACAGCAAACAATAACAACACGATACAAAGCAAATTAAAAACATAAGCAATAACAAAACATTACACCAGTGTTTCTCAACCTGGGGGTCGGGACCCCTGAGGGGGTCGTGAGGCGGTGTCAGAGGGGTCGCCAAAGACCATCAGAAAACACAGTATTTTTTGTTGGTCATGGGGGTTCTGTGTGGGAAGTTTGGTCCAATTCTATCATTGGTGGGGTTCAGAACACTCCTTGATTGTAGGTGAACTATAAATCCCAACAACTACAACTCGCAAGTGTCAAGGTCTATAACCCCCAAGCACCACCAGTGTTCACATTTGTGTATATTGAGTATCCGTGTGAAGTTTGGTCCAGATCCATCATTGTTTGAGCCCACAGTGCTCTCTGGATGTAGGCGAACTACAACTCCCAAACTCAAGGTCAATGCCCACCAAACCCTTCCAGTATTTTCTGTTGATCATGGGAGTTCTCTGTGCCAACTTTGGTTCAATTCCATTGTTGGTGGGGTTCAGAATGCTCTTTGTTTACATGTTAACTATAAATCCCAGCAACTACAACTCCCAAATGACAAAGTCAATCCCCCAGCCAACCATACCAGTGTTTGGTATTTGTGCCAAATTTTCTCCAGTGAATGAAAATACATCCTGCAGATCATTATTTACATGGCGATTCATAATGTTAGGGTTATGGTTGGGGGTCACCACAACATGAGGAACTGTATTAAGGGGTTGCGACATTAGGAAGGTTGAGAACCACTGTCTTAAACTCTACTAAAGTGCTTCTGGGACATAGTGCTGGGGTTATCCTATTCTGGAAAGGCACATCGGAATAGCCAGGTCTTCAAGTTCTTCCTAAAGACTGCCAACGTGGGTGCTAGTCTAATATCTTTGGGGAGGGTGTTCCAAAGTCGGGGGGCAACCACAGAGAAGGCCCTGTCCCTCGTCACCACCAAACGCGCCTGCGACGCAGGTGGGATCACGAGCAGGGCCTCTCCGGATGAACGAAGGGAGCGCGTGGGTTCATAAACGGAGATGCGGTCATGCAGGTAGGCAGGTCCCAAACCGTTTAGGGCTTTGTAGGTAAGCACCTGCACCTTGAATTGGGCTCGGTAGGTAAACAGCAGCCAGTGGAGCTCCTTAAACAGGAGGATTGACCTCTCTCTGTAAGGAGCACCAGTTAACATCCTGGCCGCCGCCCGTTGGACCACTTGGAATTTCCGAGCCGTTTTCAAGGGCAGCCCCACGTAGAGCACATTACAGTAATCCAATCTAGAGGTGACCAAGGCATGGACCACCCTGGCCAAATCAACCTTTGCGAGGTACGGTCGCAGTTGGAGCACAAGTCTTAGTTGTGCAAAAGCCCTCCTGGACACCGCCAACGCCTGAGCCTCAAGCGTAAGTGATGAGTCCAAGAGGACTCCCAAGCTGCGGACCTGTGGCTTCAGGGGGAGTGTAACCCCGTCCAACACAGGTTGCCACCCTATACCCCGTCTGGTTTACGATTGACCAGGAGGACCTCTGTCTTGTCGGGATTGATCTTCAGCTTGTTCTTCCTCATCCGGATAGCCACAGCGGCCATCTGTTTACCACTCTAAACAAGAGAGAAGCCGAAACGGGCCAAGCGCAGGCCAGATGTGGGCACCAGCTCAACTCAGGCCCACTTCTCACCCCTTTCTCCCATTTCCCCTGCACACCTTCCCATAGGTAAATGCCCAGGCAGGTGCACACTCACCTCCATCTTGCTGTAAATCCAGCTGAGCATCTTGGTGACTTGCGTGTAGACCCCTGGCTTGTCCTTCTGTCCACATCCGGTCCCCCAACTGGTGACGCCGGCCAAGTACCAGCGGTTGCCGTCCTCACAGACCAAGGGACCCCCGCTGTCGCCCTGAGAAAGAGGAGTCAATGGGGGAAACCCTCACCTTGGCCTTTTCATGCCCATGCATCTGGGCTGAGAGGCACGGCCAGGTTTTCCTTTCTAATGATCCTTTCATTGGGTTGTTGAGGCTTTTTCGAGCTGTATGGCCATGGTCTAGAAGTATTCTCTCCTGACATTTCACCTGCATCTATGGCAAGCATCCTCAGAGGTAGTGAGGTCTGTTGGAACTAGGAAAAAGGGTTTATATCTGTGGAATGACCAGGGTGAGACAAAGGACTCTTGTCTGCTGGAGCTAGGTGTGAATGTTTCAACTGACCACCTTGATTAGCATATAATGGCCTGACTGTGCCTGGAGCAAACTTTTGTTGAGAGGTGATTAGATGTCCTTGTTTGTTTCCTCTCTGTTGTTGTGATGTTGCAATTTTAGAGTTTTTTAATACTGGTAGCCAGATTTTGTTCATTTTCATGGTTTCCTCCTTTCTGTTGAAATTGTCCACATGCTTGTGGATTTCAATGGCTTCTCTGTGTAGTCTGACATGGTGGTTGTGAGAGTGGTCCAGCATTTATGTGTGCCAATTTATTGTAGAAGGCTTTCATGGCTGGAATCACTAGGTTCTTGTGGGTTTTTTCGGGCTATATGGCCATGTTCTAGAGGCATTCTCTCCTGATGTTTTGCCTGCATCTATGGCAAGCATCCTCAGAGGTTGTGAGGTCTGAGGATGCTTGCCATAGATGCAGGCGAAACGCCAGGAAAAATGCCTCTAGAACATGGCCATATAGCCCGAAAAAACCCACAAGAATCTAGTCAGCCCATTGTATGCAAATCAAGGTGGTCAGTTGAAACATTCACACCTAGCTCAAGCAGACAAGAGTCCTTTGTCCCACCCTGGTCATTCCACAGATATATAAACCCTTTTCCTAGTTCCAACAGACCTCACTATCTCTGAGGATGCTTGCCATAGATGCAGGCGAAACGTCAGGAGAGAATGCCTCTAGAACATGGCCATATAGCCCAAAAAACCCACAAGAACCTAGTCAGCCCATTGTATGCAAATCAAGGTGGTCAGTTGAAACATTCACACCTAGCTCAAGCAGACAAGAGTCCTTTGTCCCACCCTGGTCATTCCACAGATACATAAACCCTTTTCCCTAGCTCCAATAGACCTCACTATCTCTGAGGATGCTTGCCATAGATGCAGGCGAAACGTCAGGAGAGAATGCCTCTAGAACATGGCCATATAGCCCAAAAAACCCACAAGAACCTAGTCAGCCCATTGTATGCAAATCAAGGTGGTCAGTTGAAACATTCACACCTAGCTCCAGCAGACAAGAGTCCTTTGTCTCACCCTGGTCATTCCACAGATACATAAACCCTTTTCCCTAGCTCCAACAGATCTCACTACCTATGAGGATGCTTGCCATAGATGCAGGCGAAACGTCAGGAGAGAATGCCTCTAGACCATGGCCATACAGCCCGAAAAAACCTACAACAACCCAGTGATTCCAGCCATGAAAGCCTTCGACAATACATTGATCCTTTCTTTCACACAAAAAGACTCCTCTGAGTATATTTTCTAACTTGGTGACATGTTATAGGCCAGGCATGGGCAAACTTGGGCCCTCGTTGGGAAAGCGAGTTCCATAGGCAGGGGGCCACAGCCGAGAAGGCCCTGTCTCTCATCCCCGCCAGATGCATTTGCAACGCTGGGGGAGCGAAAGTAGGGCCTCCCAGGATGATCTTAAACTGCGGGGCAGGACATAGAGGGAGATGTGTTCAGACAAGTAAGCTGGGCCAGAACCCAGGCATGGACCAATTTGGGCCGTCCAGGTGTTTTGGACTTCAACTCCCACCATCCCCAGGACCTGCCCAACTGGCACAACGGGCTTGGGGTGGTTATCTTATCTGTCCCACTTGTAGGGCCTGCAGCAGGCATGGGCAAACTTGGGCCCTCCAGAAGTTTTGGACTTCAACTCCCACCATTCCTAACAGCCTCAGGCCCTTTCCTTTTGTGGGGTAAACCTCAGTGTGAGAGAAGCCTTGTGTGAGAAAGCTCCAGTGTGAAGGCTGCTGTGTATAAAGCTACTACGTATTTGTTTCTTTGTGTTATGGAAACCTTGTTTTTGTAAATAGTGCAACCATATTATTAAAGGAAAAGGCCTGTAGCTCAGGTGTTTTGGACTTCAACTCCCACCATTCCTAACAGCCTCAGGACCTTTCCTTTTGTGGGGTAAACCTCAGTGTGAGAGAAGACTGGTGTGAGAAAGCTCCAGTGTGAAGGCTGTTGAGTGTAAAACTACTACGTATTTGTTTCTTTGTGTTATGGAAACCTGATTTTTGTAAACAGTGCAACCATATTATTAAAGGAAAGGGCCTGAGGCTGTTAGGAATGGTGGGAGTTGAAGTCCAAAACATCTAGAGTGCCCAAGTTGACCCACAGGAACCACTCCCAAAGCTTTGTGCGAAGTTGCCAGGCAAGCTCTGGATTGGAGACCCCTCCCCACAAATCCCACAAAGGAAGGGGGTGCCGGACGCTACTGACCTCTGACCAGGGGGCCTCTTTGTCCCTCACTTTGTCCCAGAACACCCTATGTCCCCCTCCCCTTCCCCAAGCCCCACCTGGCAGGAGTCCCGGCCCCCCTGCAAGTATCCGGCGCACATCATGCGGGGGGTCAGGAAGCCCTCATAGACATTGGGCTTGTTGCAGCGGCGGAAGTCAATGATCTCCACGGCGGCCTCCCGCAGCTTCGGATTTGTGTTCTCTGTGGGCAGAGAGATTCCCATGAGTATTTGAGGGCATCTTGATAGAGGAGAGCTTCCACGTCCAGCCCCTCCACACCTGACCTTTGCAAGAGGAGAAGGGTGATTGGAAAGTGATGCTGCCACCCACACCCTGGGTCAGTGTTTCTCAACCTGGGGGTCAGGACCCTGGGGGGGGGGGTGTCAAAGGGGTCACCAAAGACCATCAAAAACAGTATTTTCTGTTGATCATGGGGGTTCTGTGTGAGAAGTTTGGCCAAATTGTATCATTGGTGGGCTTCAGAATGCTCTCGGATTGCAGGTGAACTATAAATTCCAGCAACTATAACTCCCAAATGTCAAGGTCTATTTTCCCCAAACTCAACCAGTGTTCACATTTGGGCATATTGAGTATTCGTACCAAGTTTGGTCCAGATATATCATTGTTTGAGTTCACAGTGCTCTCTGGATATAGGTGAACTACAGCTCCCAAACTCAAGGCCAATGCCCACCAAACCCTCCCAGTATTTTCTGTCGGTCATGGGAGTCCTATGTGCCAAGTTCGGTCCAATTCCATCATTGGTGGAGTTCAGAATGCTCCATCATTGATTGAGTCCACACTGCTCTCTGGATGTAGGTGAACTACAACTCCCAAACTCAAGGTCAATGCCCACCAAACCCTCCCAGTATTTTCTGTCGGTCATGGGAGTCCTATGTGCCAAGTTTGGTCCAATTCCATCATTGGTGGAGTTCAGAATGCTCCATCATTGATTGAGTCCACACTGCTCTCCGGATGTAGATGTTCAGAGCATTCTGAACTACAACTCCCAAACTCAAGGTCAATGCCCACCAAACCCTTCCAGCATTTTCTGTTAGTCATGAGAGTTCTGTGTGCCAAGTCTGGTTCAATTACATCATTGGTGGAGTTCAGAATGCTCTTGAATTTAAATGAACTATAAATCCCAGCAACTACAACTCCCAAATGACAAAATAAATTCCCCCAACCCCACCAGTATTCAAATTTGGGCATCTTGAGCGTGTCAAATTTGGTCCAGTGAATGAAAATTACAGTAATGGAGCCGCAACAAAAATAATGTTGTGATTGGGGGTCACCATGACATGGGGAACTGCATTAAGGGGTCACAGCATTAGGAAGGTTGAGAACCACTGCCCTGGGTACTCCTACCTTCGTGCTCATTGACTTTGCCATATCCGGTGATGAAGCAGGTCCTTCCTGGGTCAAACTTCTGGCCCGACATGGGGAGGCAGGCAGGGCGCACCTGGGCTGCACAAAGGAAGGAGGCAATGTGAGTGAGTTGGGGGTCTCTGGGGAGGGGCCATGTGGGGAGGGGGCATGGGTAGTGCAATGGGATCAACCCTTGTGCTGCTGAACTGCTGACCTGAAGGCGGGCAGTTTGAATCCGCAGGACAGGGTAAGCTCCTGTTGCTAGCCCTAGCAACTATAACTCCCAAATGTCAAGGTCTATTTTCCCAAACTCCACCAGTGTTCACATTTGGGCATATTGAGTATTCGTGCCAAGTTTGGTCCAGATCCATCATTGTTTGAGTCCACAGTGCTCTCTGGATGTAGGTGAACTACAGCTCCCAAACTCAAGGTCAATGCCCACCAAACCCTCCCAGTATTTTCTGTGTGTACAGACAACACAAGCTCCTCAGCTTGGAAATGGAACAACAGGACCACCCCCAAAGCCAGAGATGAACACCACCTCTCAAGCCGGAAATGAAAGGAGAAGCCTTTGCCTTTGTTTGTGTCTTTGAGTCTCATTGTGTGTCATTGTAACAAGGCATTGAATGTTTGCCTGTGTCTGTTTATATGCTGTAATCTGCTCTGAGTCCCCTTGGGGAGAAGTGCGGAATATAAATAAAATATTATTATTATTAGCACCACCTCCAGAGCCGTAAATGAAAGGAGAAGCCTTTGCCTTTGTGTGTTTGTGTCTCATTGTATGTCATTGCAATGAGGCACTGAATGTTTTCCTGTGTCTGTTTATATCCTGTAATCTGCTCTGAGTCCCCTTGGGGAGAAGTGCGGAATATAAATAAAATATTATTATTATTATTATTATTATTATTAGCACTGCCTCCAGAGCGGTAAATGAAAGGAGAAGCCTTTGCCTTTGTTTTTGCGTCTCATTGTATGTCATTGCAATGAGGCATTGAATGTTTTCCTGTGTCTGTTTATATGCTGTAATCTGCTCTGAGTCCCCTTGGGGAGAAGTGTGGAATATAAATAAAATATTATTATTATTATTAGCACCACCTCCAGAGCCGTAAATGAAAGGAGAAGCCTTTGCCTTTGTGTGTTTGTGTCTCATTGTATGTCATTGCAATGAGGCATTGAATGTTTTCCTGTGTCTGTTTATATGCTGTAATCTGCTCTGAGTCCCCTTGGAGAGAAGTGCGGAATATAAATAAATAATTATAATAATAATTATTATTATTAGCACCGCCTCCAGAGCCATAAATGAAAGGAGAAGCCTTTGCCTTTGAGTGTTTGCGTCTCATTGTATGTCATTGCAATGAGGCATTGAATGTTTTCCTGTGTCTGTTTATATGCTGTAATCTGCTCTGAGTCCCCTTGGAGAGAAGTGCAGAATATAAATAAAGTATTATTATTATTATTATTATTATTATTATTATTATTATTATTATTGTTAGCACTGCCTCCAGAGCCGTAAATGAAAGGAGAAGCCTTTGCCTTTGTGTGTTTGTGTCTCATTGTATGTCATTGCAACGAGGCACTGAATGTATACCTGTGTCTGTTTATATGCTGTCACCTGCTCTGAGTCCCCTTGGAGAGAAGCGTGGAATATAAATAAAATATTATTATTATTAGCACCACCTCCAGAGCCATAAATGAAAGGAGAAGCCTTTGCCTTTGTGTGTTTGTGTCTCATTGTATGTCATTGCAATGAGGCATCGAATGTTTCCTGTGTCTGTTTATATGCTGTAATCTGCTCTGAGTCCCCTCGGGGAGAAGCGTGAAATAGAAATATATTATTATTATTATTATTATTATTATTATTATTATTATTATTATTATTATTATCACCGCCTCCAGAGCCGTAAATGAAAGGAGAAGCCTTTGCCTTTGTGTGTTTGTGTCTCATTGTCATTGCAATGAGGCATTGAATGTATACCCGTGTCTGTTTATATACTGTCATCTGTTCTGAGTCTCTTCGAGGGGGGGGGGGGGCGCGGAATGTAAATAAGGTGTTATTATTCCTCACCAGAGAGAGTCAGGGGCCGTGACAGCTTGAGGAGGGCGATGTCGTAGTCGTCATGCTCCTCGCTGTAGTTGGCGTTGATGATGACCTCCTTGACGGGGACCCCCTCCCACCCACCTCCTGGGCGCTTCAGGTCCGAGACCCCCGCCACCACCTTCCACCGGTCCAGGATCTTCGCGTTATTCCTAGGGAAGGGGCACAGAGGTCAATGAGGGGAGGTAAACGATAGGTATAGATCAGGCTTGGGCTAACTTGGGCTCTCCAAGTGTTTTGGACTTCAACTCCCACCATTCTGCACAGCCTCAGGCCCTTTCCTTTTGTGAAGTAAACCTCAGTGTGAGAGAACCTCCGGTGTGAAGGCTGCTGCATGTAAAGCTGGGGGAGGAAAGGAAGAGGTCTGAGGCTGTACAGAATGGTAGGAATTGAAGGCCAAAACATCTGGGGGGAGGGCCCAAGTTGCCCCATACTTGAGATAGCCCACCACCACCACACACGTTCCCTTTGCGTCCTGACTTACATGAAGAAGCAGTGGGCGGCGGTGAGGACCCATTGGGGGTCAAGGAGGGTCCCTCCGCAGATGTGGCTGGAGCCGAACTGGAGGCTGACCTGCCAGGGCCACTTGCTGGACGGGGCCTCCGCACCCTCCACGATGCGCCCTGACATGCGCTGCCCGCAGCCTGAGCAGACCAGGAAGGGAGGAGGAGGAGACTGAGACCACTGGGAACTGTGAGGACATGCCCCCCGCCCCACTCTGTTTCCCCAAGACAGCCTACCCTGAGTCTACTTACTCGAGCAGCGGAGGGTGACATATCTTCTGGAAGGGCACTCCGAACTTCAGGTGAGAGAGGGAGGGAGGACAAGTTGGTCAGGCTCCGAGGCCGAGGCCCCTGCCCCACCCCCATGAGTTCAGGTCCTGCCCACAACTCAAGGCTCCACCCTCAAGTCACGCCCTGCCCCCAAGTTAATGCCCTGCCCTCACATCCAAGCCTCGCCCTCAAGTACAGACCCCACTCTCAACTACAACCCCATCCCCCAATTCCAGGCTCCCAAGCCAGAAATGAAAGGAGAAGCTAGGTTCTTGTGGGGTTTTTTGGGCTATAGAGCCATGTTCTAGAGGCATTTCTCCTGACGTTTCGCCTGCATCTATGGCAAGCATCCTCAGAGGTGTGAGGTCTGTTGGAAGTAGGAAAATGGGTTTATATATCTGTGGAATGGCTGGGGTGGGGCAAGGAGCTCTTCCCTGCTGCAGTTAGGTGTGAATGTTTAGCTGATCACCTTCATTAGCATTTGAAGGCCTGCCTGAGCCTGGGAAAATCTGTTGCTGGGAGGTGTTAATCTGTGCCTGGTTTTTCCTCTCTGTTGTTGCTGTTGTAATTTTAGATTTTTTTAATACTGGTAGCCAGATTTTGTTCATTTTCATGGTCTCTTCCTTTCTGTTGAAATTGTCCACATGCTTGTGGATTTCAATGGCTTCTCTGTGTAGTCTGACATGGTGGTTGTTGGTGTGGTCCAGCATTTCTGTGTTCTCAAATAATATGGTGTGTCCAGGCTGGTTCATCAGGTGCTCTGGGTTTAGAAGGGGCGTGGCTTGGGGGTAAGGTGAGGAGGGGAGGGGGGATGGGTTTAGAAGGGGCGTGGCTTGGGGGTAAGGTGAGGAGGGGGGGGGATGGGTTTAGAAGGGGGCGTGGCTTGGGGGTAAGGTGGGAGGAGGGGAGGGGGGATGGGTTTAGAAGGGGCGTGGCTTGGGGGTAAGGTGAGGAGGGGAGGGGGGATGGGTTTAGAAGGGGGCGTGGCTTGGGGGTAAGGTGAGGAGGGAGGAGGGGAGGGGGGAGGGGTTTAGAAGGGGGCGCGGCTTGGAGGTAACGTGAGGAGGGAGGAGGGGAGGGGGGATGGGTTTAGAAGGGGGCGTGGCTTGGGGGTAAGGTGAGGAGGGAGGAGGGGAGGGGGGATGGGTTTAGAAGGGGCGTGGCTTGGGGGTAAGGTGAGGAGGGAGGAGGGGAGGGGGGATGGGTTTAGAAGGGGCGTGGCTTGGGGGTAAGGTGAGGAGGGGAGGGGGGATGGGTTTAGAAGGGGGCGTGGCTTGGGGGTAAGGTGAGGAGGGGAGGGGGGTGGGTTTAGAAGGGGGCGTGGCTGGGGGGGAAGGTGAGGAGGGGAGGGGGGGATGGGTTTAGAAGGGGGCGTGGCTTGGAGGTAAGTGAGGAGGGAGGAGGGGAGGGGGGATGGGTTTAGAAGGGGGTGTGGCTTGGAGGTAACGTGGGGGGGGGGGATGGGTTTAGAAGGGGGCGTGGCTTGGGGGTAACGTGAGGAGGGGGGGGGGGATGGGTTTAGAAGGGGGCGTGGCTTGGAGGTAACGGTGAGGAGGGAGGAGGGGAGGGGGGATGGGTTTAGAAGGGGGCGTGGCTTGGAGGTAAGGTGAGGAGGGAGGAGGGGGGGGGGGGATGGGTTTAGAAGGGGCGTGGCTTGGAGGTAATGTGAGGAGGGAGGTGGGAGGGGGGATGGGTTTAGAAGGGGCGTGGCTTGGGGGTAAGGTGAGGAGGGAGGAGGGGAGGGGGGATGGGTTTAGAAGGGGGCGGCTTGGAGGTAACGTAGGAGGGAGAGAGGGGAGGGGGATGGGTTTAGAAGGGGGTGTGGCTTGGAGGTAAGGTGAGGAGGGAGGAGGGGAGGGGGGATGGGTTTAGAAGGGGGCGTGGCTTGGAGGTAAGGTGAGGAGGGAGGGGGGGAGGGGGGATGGGTTTAGAAGGGGGCGGGGCTTGGAGGTAACGTGAGGAGGGAGGAGGGGAGGGGGGATGGGTTTAGAAGGGGGCGTGGCTTGGAGGTAACGTGAGGAGGGAGGAGGGGAGGGGGGATGGGTTTAGAAGGGGCGGCTTGGAGGTAACGTGAGGAGGGTAGAGGGAGGGGGGATGGGTTTAGAAGGGGGCGTGGCTTGGAGGTAACGTGAGGAGGGAGGAGGGGAGGGGGGATGGGTTTAGAAGGGGGCGTGGCTTGGGGGTAACGTGAGGAGGGGAGGGGGGATGGGTTTAGAAGGGGCGTGGCTTGGAGGTAAGGTGAGGAGGGAGGGGGGATGGGTTTAGAAGGGGCGTGGCTTGGGGGTAGGTGAGGAGGGGAGGGGGGGGTTTAGAAGGGGGCGTGGCTTGGGGGGTAAGGTGAGGAGGGGAGGGGGGATGGGTTTAGAAGGGGCGTGGCTTGGGGGTAATGTGAGGAGGGAGGGGGGGGGGGGGATGGGGTTAGAAGGGGCGTGGCTTGGGGGGTAAGGTGAGGAGGGGGGGGATGGGTTTAGAAGGGGCGGGGCTTGGAGGGGGGTGGGGGGGTTTAGGGGGGGGGGGGAGGGGGGGGAGGGGGATGGGTTTAGAAGGGGCGTGGCTTGGAGGTAACGTGAGGAGGGTAGAGGGAGGGGATGGGTTTAGAAGGGGCGTGGCTTGGAGGTAAGGGAGGGAGGAGGGGAGGGGGGATGGGTTTAGAAGGGGCGTGGCTTGGGGGGTAAGGTGAGGGGGGGAGGGGGGGTGGGTTTAGAAGGGGGCGTGGCTTGGGGGTAACGTGGAGGGAGGAGGGGAGGGGGGATGGGTTTAGAAGGGGCGTGGCTTGGGGGTAAGGTGAGGAGGGGAGGGGGGGTGGGTTTAGAAGGGGCGGGGCTTGGGGGGAGGGAGGAGGGAGGGGGGATGGGTTTAGAAGGGCGTGGCTTGGAGGTAACGGTGAGGAGGGAGGGAGGGGGATGGGTTTAGAAGGGGCGTGGCTTGGAGGTAAGGTGAGGAGGGGAGGGGTGGGTTTAGAAGGGGCGTGGCTTGGGGGTAAGGTGAGGAGGGGAGGGGGGATGGGTTTAGAAGGGGGCGTGGCTTGGGGGTAAGGTGAGGAGGGAGGAGGGGAGGGGGGATGGGTTTAGAAGGGGGCGTGGCTTGGAGGTAATGTGAGGAGGGGAGGGGGGATGGGTTTAGAAGGGGCGTGGCTTGGGGGTAAGGTGAGGAGGGAGGGGGGATGGGTTTAGAAGGGGCGTGGCTTGGGGGGAAAAGGTGAGGAGGGGAGGGGGATGGGTTTAGAAGGGGCGTGGCTTGGGGGTAAGGTGGGAGGAGGGGAGGGGGGATGGGTTTAGAAGGGGCGTGGCTTGGGGGTAAGGTGAGGAGGGGAGGGGGGATGGGTTTAGAAGGGGGCGTGGCTTGGAGGTAACGTGAGGAGGGGAGGGGGGATGGGTTTAGAAGGGGCGTGGCTTGGAGGTAATGTGAGGAGGGGAGGGGGGATGGGTTTAGAAGGGGCGTGGCTTGGGGGTAAGGTGAGGAGGGGAGGGGGGATGGGTTTAGAAGGGGGCGTGGCTTGGGGGTAAGGTGAGGAGGGGGGAGGGGGGGAGGGGGCGGCCAGGTGGGGGAGGGAGGAGGGAGGGGGGATGGGTTTAGAAGGGGGCATGGCTTGGAGGTTACGTGAGGAGGGAGGAGGGGAGGGGGGATGGGTTTAGAAGGGGCGTGGCTTGGGGGTAAGGTGAGGAGGGGAGGGGGGATGGGTTTAGAAGGGGGCGTGGCTTGGAGGTAACGTGAGGAGGGAGGAGGGGAGGGGGGAGGGGGCGTGCGCGCGCGTGTGTGCTGCGCGGGGGGGAGGGGGGATGGGTTTAGAAGGGGCGTGGCTTGGGGGTAAGGAGGGAGGGAGGGGGTTAGAAGGGGGCGTGGCTTGGAGGTAATGTGAGGAGGGGAGGGGGGATGGGTTTAGAAGGGGCGTGGCTTGGGGGTAAGGTGAGGAGGGGAGGGGGGATGGGTTTAGAAGGGGGCGTGGCTTGGGGGTAAGGTGAGGAGGGAGGAGGGGAGGGGGGATGGGTTTAGAAGGGGCGTGGCTTGGGGGTAAGGTGAGGAGGGGAGGGGGGTGGGTTTAGAAGGGGGTGGCTTGGAGGTAAGGGGAGGGGAGGGGGATGGGTTTAGAAGGGGGCGTGGCTTGGGGGTAAGGTGAGGAGGGGAGGGGGGATGGGTTTAGAAGGGGCGTGGCTTGGGGGTAAGGTGAGGAGGGGGGGGGGATGGGTTTAGAAGGGGGCGTGGCTTGGGGTAAGGTGAGGAGGGAGGAGGGGAGGGGGGATGGGTTTAGAAGGGGCGTGGCTTGGAGGTAATGTGAGGAGGGAGGTGGGAGGGGGGATGGGTTTAGAAGGGGCGTGGCTTGGGGGTAAAGGTGAGGAGGGAGGGGGTGGGTTTAGAAGGGGGCGTGGCTTGGGGGTAAGGTGAGGAGGGGAGGGGGGATGGGTTTAGAAGGGGCGTGGCTTGGAGGTAAGGTGAGGAGGGAGGAGGGGAGGGGGGATGGGTTTAGAAGGGGGCGTGGCTTGGAGGTAACGTGAGGAGGGGGGGGAGGGGGGGATGGGTTTAGAAGGGGCGTGGCTTGGAGGTAACGTGAGGAGGGAGGAGGGGGGGATGGGTTTAGAAGGGGCGTGGCTTGGAGGTAAGGTGAGGAGGGAGGAGGGGGGGGGGGATGGGTTTAGAAGGGGGCGTGGCTTGGAGGTAACGTGAGGAGGGAGGGGGAGGGGGGATGGGTTTAGAGGGGCGTGGCTTGGAGGTAACGTGAGGAGGGAGGAGGGGAGGGGGGATGGGGGCGCGCGCGCGCGTGTGTGCCGCGCCAGGGGACAAAATACTAGAAGGGTTTGGTGGGCATTGGGCTTGGGTTTTGGGAGTTGTAGTTTACCTGCATCCAGACAGAACTATGGATTCAATCAATCATAGAATCATAGAATCATAGAATCCTAGAGTTGGAAGAGACCTCCTGGGCCATCCAGTCCAACCCCATTCTGCCAAGAAGCAGGAATATTGCATTCAAAGCACCCCTGACAGATGGCCATCTAGCCTCTGTTTAAAAGCTTCCAAAGAAGGAGCCTCCACCACACTCCGGGGCAGAGAGTTCCACTGCTGAACGGCTCTCACACTCAGGAAGTTCTTCCTGATGTTCAGATGGAATCTCCTCTCTTGTAGTTTGAAGCCATTGTTCCATTGCGCCCTACTCTCCAGGGAAGCAGAAAGGAAGCTTGCTCCCTCCTCCTCCCTGTGGCTTCCTCTCACATATTTATACATGGCTGTCATAGCTCCAAAGATGGATCCGTACCAAACTTGGCACGAATACTCAATATGCCCAAATTTGAATATTGTTGGGGTTGGGGGGGGGGGGGTATTGATTTTGTCATTTGGGAGTTGTAGTTTCTGGGATTTATAGTTCACTCACAACCAAAGAGCACCCTGAACTCCACCAACAATGGAATTGAATCAGACTTGGCACACAGAACTTCCATGACCAACAGAAAATACAGGGTGTGTTTGGTGGGCATTGACCTTGAGTTTTAGAGTTGTAGTTTACCTACATCCATACTCAAACAATGATACATCTGGACCAAACTTGGCACAAATACTCAACATGATCAAATGTGAACACTGGTGGAATTTGGGGAAAATAGACGTTGACATTTGGGAGTTGTAGTTGCTGGGATTTGTAGTTCACCTACTATCACAGAGCATTCTGAACCCCACCAGCGATAGAAATGGGCCAAACTTCCCACACAGAACCTCCAAGACTAATAGAAAACACTATATTTTCTGATGGTCTTTGGTGACCCCTCTGACACCCCCTCGTGACCTCCTCAGGGGTCCTGACCCCCAGGTTGAGAAATGCTGCCCTGAATGGTTCTGGCCCAACTTACCTGTCTGAATGCATCTCCCCTTATGAACCCTCCAGGACTTTAAGATCGTCTGGAGATGTCCTGCTCTTGATCCCGCCTTCGTCACAAGTACGGTTGGCGGGGACGAGAGACAGGGCCTTCTCAGTGGTGGCCCCTCGGCTGTGGAACGCCCTCCCCAGGGATATTAGATCGGCCCCTTCCCTTTTAACATCTCGAAAGCAGGTCAAGACGTGGCTCTTTGAGCAAGTGTTTGCAGACACAATATAACAGACATGGAGAAAAACGGAACAACTCGACAATGTTATTGGATAACRCTTTTAACCAGGAGACTCAAATTGATATATGCTTCWATTGATATTGATTGTTTTACTTGGTTTTATATTTAAATTGATTGTTTTTAAATTCTATTTTATGTCTTTGATATTGACTGTAAACCACTCCGAGTCGCCTGTGGRCTGAGAGGGGCGGTATATAAATGTAGTAAATAAATAAATAAATAAATAAATAAATAAATAAATAAATGTTTTGATATGGCCAATGAGCTAATCAATAAAAGGTATCAAACTGTGATGGCTCCATGCTATAGAATGCTGGGAGTTACAGTTTCTGTAACCTTCCATTCTTTAAGCCAGTGTTTCTCAACCTGGGGGTCAGGACCCCTGGGGGGG